CTCATTAAATCAGCAAAGTACTTGCACAAAGATTCGTTAGTTGCACCAAAAATGATATCGTCAACATAAATTTGCACAACTAAAAGATGAGTTCCTTTTGATTTTAAAAACAAAATTTTAACAAATTTTCCTCTTTTTAAATCATTATGTAAAAGGAACTTAGAAAGTCTTTCATACCATGCTCTTGGAGTTTGTTTTAGTCCATACAGTGCTTTATCAAGTTTTAAAACATGGTTAGGAAAGTTTGGATCTTCAAATCTAGGTGGTTGTTCAACAAAGACGTCTTCTTTTAAAAAACCATTTAGAAATGCACATATAACGTCCATTTGATAAAGTTTAAAACCCATAAATGCAGCAAATGCGATTAAAATACGAATTGCTTCTAATCTAGCTACAGGAGCAAAAGTCTCCTCAAAATCGATACCTTCATGTTGGTTGTAGCCTTTGACAACCAATCTTGCCTTGTTCCTCACAATTGTGCCATGTTCATCTAGCTTATTCCTATACACCCATTTGAGACCAATAACTTTTTGATTTGTTGGTTTGGGTTCATGATGCCACACTTTATTTCTTTCGAATTCATTGAGTTCCTCTTGCATGGCAACTATCCAGTCAGCATCTTCCAAGGCTTCTTTGTGATTTCGAGGGTCTAGTGTTGATAAAATTATAAGTGACTTAGGCAAGGGGGTGTGACTTATGCGTGGATAAAATTATAAGTCACATCAATAAGTTGAAATTTAAAACGTTCATGCATATATTCAATTTTATTGACCATTTTATCCACGCATTTAAAATTGTCCCTTATGGGCGAGAATAAAATGATTCCGAGATCCCAAAGATCAATAAATGGTTAAGCATGCTTTGGCTTGTCTTAATCATTAAATATCTTAAGGTAAGCAATCCAATTGCTAATAGCTCCAAGATACTCTCGGTTTGATAAAATGTCGCATCTAATGCATCCTTGACATTTTATCTCTTTTGCCACGACATCTAAGGACTCCTTACTGATATCGTTGAGCTTAACCAAGACAACTTGTATACCTAGTATACCTTACGTTCCTAGGGAAGTAGTGATGCCTCGCTTTGGCGTAATCCATCACGTACGCGCATTAGTTCGGTAAGTGTTGTTCTTGGAACGACAAATTTTAGCTCAATATTATTAAGGGACCTAGGGTTTCTATGTTGGTTGATTTAAGTGAACTTAACTAATCGTCGCAACATAATAGAAATCCTAGACATGCATCTAGAAATCATATATAATAACAATATATAAGGCATAAAATAGATGCATTTGGCAACTAGCATGACCCCTTGAAATCTTCAATTTCCATGGGTCTTCATCTTGGCTCGTCTTCGTCGAAACGCCGTCTTGAGACATCTTGGCCAAAATGAAATAAAAAGAAGCTAGCTAAAGCGACTAAGATTAATCTAATAGTACAAAAATACTTAACGGTTCGCAGACCGTATTTAGATTTACAAAAATACATAACGGAACGCAGTCCGTATTTTCTATCCTAGTCGGGCCTCACTAGTTGCCATTTTCAAAGAACCTGTTTTGAAAACAATTCTTCATTCACCCATTCACTATTTTTGAATGGCCCATGCAATTTTACGAAATACATAATTAAACACGCAAAACTAGTAACTAACTTAGGTGGTTAATCCAATTAACGCGCCTAATTAAAACTAGTCAAAGTGGTTTAATCCATTATTTCTAAACGCAAAATGCTAACGCACTTAATTAAGCTCCCACTAAATTTCGCATTCGTACTTAATTAATCCGATTAATTAATTCGGCATAACCCATAATTTGTCAAAATTTTGCAAAATCAAAATCGAGGTTTTCAGCCTCGTTAAAAGTAATTAATTAAAATTATTAAAACGACAAGATTTTCGCAAAAATCATAGCCCAAACATTAAGCAAAACCACCCAACAAAACCCTTGGTGGGTGCGCACCATGGCTGCTAGGCAGCCCATGGCATGGCGCCATGGTGCGTGGGTGAGGCCTGCTGTGCCTAGCAAGCAGTGCTGCTAGCCCAGTTGCCTGCTAGCATGCTGGTGCCTGCGAGCATCTGGCCTGCTGGGCAGGCGCCTCTTGATGCTCGTGGTGCGCTGGGCTGGTGCTTGCTGCCCTGCTGCCCAGCAGCATCCCTCGCAAGACAGCCCCAGCCACTGCCCACGCACATCAGCCATGCCTCCCCGCCACACAACAACGCATAGCAGCATCATGGCTCACCCTTGTGCGCACCACAGGCAGCCACATGTGGGCTGCTAGGCAGCCCGGCTAGCCTTGGTGGCACTTGGGTGTTTTGCCTTCATTTGAGTGCTATGACTCGGGATTTTAATCCCACTTTACGTGTGACATGAATTAATTCTAAATTACATTTTAGAATTAATTTGAGGGAAAATAAAATAAAATAAAATAAAGTCTAACTTAAATAAATTTATTTTATTGGTGCACAAGTCTAAATTTATCCAAAATTTCAATTTTGAACAAAATAAGTCAAACTTTATGCTTAAAATAAAATGAGCTATGTCCAAAATTAATCTTGCCTATATACAAATTAATAATGGATTTGACAAAAGGGAGTTGGAAAAATAAATTAACCATCCAATGATAAAATTTTCCAACTTGCATACTTGTGTAAAATACCAAGATTACATCTTCCAATATGAAGATTAATCAAATTTTACTCACAAGTAATTGAACTTGATGGATTTTAATCAACCAAAACATGAAAAAATCCAAACTTTGTTCAACATGGAATTTAGGGTTAGGGTTCCAATCATTTAAACCTTTAAAGATTAGAACTTTAACATTATTTGGGAACTTAAAATACAAAATCACAACAAGTTTTCACACTTTATTGCAATTTATTTGCAAAATTTGTGAAAAACAAGTTTATGTGATAAATTGGTATATCAACTTAAGCACTAATAAACACTCCATTATTATGCTCAAGGATATTATAAAACCAGTAGATTAGTGATGTAAATGTGCATTTAATCTAACCTTGTAATGCTTGCATTAATCAAGGCATAAAAAGAATTAAAATTTTCGTTGAAAAACGAAAAACCCCAGAAAAATTGGGTTTCTGGTTCGAATTTGGCTTCTGGACAACCCTGAAAGGATTGAAACAGTTCCAGAATGTCGATTCCACCCAAAAATCACTATTTTTGAGCCAGGAAATAAAATCGAGTTTTAAAAATTAATTAAAACGAGCATCTAATCTAATTAGATGAACATGAATTAGAAAATTAAATTCTTTTAAAACACCTTAATTAAAAATAATTGCAAAAATTAAAAGGAGCGTGGCTCCGATACCGCTGTAGGGTTTCGTAGTGACCCGACACTATGCGTAAGGAAACCCATCAAGACCCGCCCCTTAATTAAAGAAATTAACAAGCATAATAAACTTAATCAAACAAGATTAAGAACAAGAATTATACCTTTGACGCGTGCTTCGCTCCCAAAGAGCTCTTACTTCAAAATCCCGAAAAGACGAGATGTCCGACGGATCGTACCCTCGACCCGACTCGAGCATCCTAAGTCTTGAAGGTTAGTCAAGACCCGGACAAAATAACTATGAGTTTTATGAATCAAAGGTTTACTCTTTCTTAGAGTTGCCTTTTTAATTCCACTCTAGGTTGTTCATTTCCCAATACCCAAGCTTGGTATTTATAGGGAAATGAACCCTTGCATTTCATTCCCCAACCAATGTGGGAGAATGTATAATTTGCTAATTAATTTATTTCTAAAATAAATAAATAAATAAATCTAATCACAATGCAACAAGTGTCAAAGGGAGAGAGAAGGTTAGGTGAGGACCATGGAGGGGTGGGGGGACCATTGCCTTGCTCCCTAAGGCTTTCCCAAAGACTTGGTCCCCACCCTCAAAAAACCGCCTCACCTAAGAGGGGTGCTGGGTTGCTGCCAACTAGCATGGTGCTGGCCAGCTCAGCCAGCTAGCATGTGCCTGCCCAGCAGCCTCGCATGCCTGGTGCTAGGCTGTGCTAGGCGCTGGTTCTGGCCAGTGCTAGGCGCTGGTGCTGCTGGCTTCCTAGCACTGCCTATCGCACGCACATCCATCTCTCTCGCAGCATCTCCCTCGCATCCCATTGCTAGCACAGCCAGCATGCGTGCTGCTAGCGAGCCACGCATGCTGGCCCCTTCCTTCGCACCATCCACGCTGCGCACCATGCATCCCTCGCACACGCATCAGCCAGTGCCTAGCACTGCTATGCTTGGTGCGAGGCACGCACACACGCACCATCCCACACGCATCATTGCTGCTGCTGTGCGAGGCTAGGCTGCGAGGCACACACGCAAGCCCTTGGCTTTGCGATGGTGCCTTGCCTTGAGCTTGCGTGCTGCGATGGCCTGCCACATGAACCCAGGCACCCAAGCTAGCACGCTGCTAGCTGCGATGGGCTGCCTGGTGCTTGTGGAGCTTGCGATAGCTGCCATGCGCACCCAGGCACCCATGCTAGCATGCTGCTAGCTTGTGATGGGCTGCCATGGCACGCCTAGGGTGCGATAGTGCCTAGCACACCATGGTGCGCCTATGCATGCGATGAGCTAGCCTAGCCTAGCTACGGCTACGCTCATACTTGTTGCTTGTGATTTTGCGACGCTCGGTCTTGACGCCCTAGGCTCGATTTCCGACGTCTGAATTCGTAAAACTTTATCGACTCATTAAATCCTTTCGGATTAATTCGTCGTCTCGAATCGGTGATTCGATTGGGTTCGACCTAAAGGGTTCAGTTAAGATTAAGCTGTAATATCAATTGTACCTCGATATTACTGATCGGAAGCGGCCTCCACCTAGGCATTCCGATCACTTGACCTTACTGAAGAATTAGCTCTGTAATAATTCAGAACCCTTTATCGGAAGAATACACTTGTTGGAAGGACATCATTCCTTTCAAAACAGATTTCTTCTGCCAAACAAAATTCACATTTTTATTGTACTGATTAACTTTCTTAGTACACTCTTCACTACGATGTTCCTTTTTTACCACAAAATGAACAAACAGTCTCACTAGGCAAGTCCACGTACTTCTTTTTCTTTCCATTGGACTTCTTCTTGTGGACATAGCCTAGACCTTCTGATCTTTTTGTTTGAGCTTCTTGTACCCATTTAGGAACACCCATGCTTACAGTACTTCTACTTCTTCTTGCAATTTCTAAGTCCTTTTCAAGTTTCTCATTTTTATCATTAGTAGTCTTTAACTCTTTCTTAACATGTTCTAACTCAGTATTGAACATAATTAAAGGAACTTCGGTAGACTTGCAAGAATCAATGTTAGTACACAGCATTTTATATTGAGTCAATTCAACATTCAACATTATGTTATCACTCTTGACTCTTTCAAGGGATTCTTTTAACATGATATTTTTATCCAATAATTCAAAGAATCTACCTTGCACATCATTTCTTGAGTTATTCAAGTACTTGACATGATCTCTACAAATTCCAGTGGCCTTTTCGGCTTGCCTTAGTTTTTCACATAATTCTTTATATTCATCTAAGGTCTCTAAAAACAGAGAGATTAATTTTTCTTTTGAGAGAGATTTCAAATAACTAGGTTGAATTTTTACCTCATCATTATGTTTCGCTATTAGACAAAGATTGGCTACTTCATCATCAGTGTGTTCCGGTTTCTCTTCTTCGGAACTCGAGTCTCCCCACGTGGAAATCATAGCTTTCCTAAAATTAGATTTAGAAAAGTTAGGCTTAGAGTTTCTGCTTTGATCAGCTTCTTTTCCTTTGCCTTTCTCAAATTCCCATAAGGGACACTCCTTGATGAAGTGGTTGGTGCTTCCACACTTGTGACAAGAGGACTTGACTTTGGAATCTTGATTTCTTTTACTGTATCCTTTCTTCTTGTCTGAAAACTTGTTGTTACGGTAGAACTTTTTCAGCCTTCTCACCAACATTGCAGCTTCTTCTTCATCAATGTCAGACTTCGCTTTGGATTCTTCATTGGCATTCAGTGCTAGCCCTTGACTTTTGACAGTCTCCTGAGTCCGGTTGTTCAACTGGATCTCGTGGGTAATGAGGGGACCCGCAAGTTGTTCTAGATTGAACTTGGTGAAGTCTTTTGATTCCTGCACAGCTGCAACCTTTGCTCTCCATCTGTCATTCTCTGGAAGACTTCTTAAGACCTTTCTGACCTGCTCATCTTTAGGAATTATCTTACCAAGACACGTTAGTTCATTAGTAATATTCTTAAATCGAGTGAACATGTCTTTAATAGATTCTTTGTTTCCCATTTCAAAGCGCTCATACTGAGATAAAAGAATATCAATTTTGGAACGTTTAACATCTGACGTTCCTTCATGTGTAACTTCCAGAAGATCCCAAATTTCCTTTGCGGACTTGCACCCTTTGACACGAGTATGTTCATTGGATCCAAGTCCCCAAATTAAAAACTTTTTGGCAGTAGCATTCAATTCTAGTTTTTCGAAATCAGTTTTCTCATATTCATCCATAGGCTTAGGTATTACCTCATTGTTTGCGTTTTTTTTGGTAATTTCGTAATCTCCTACTTGAATAATTCGCCATACCTGATAATTCTCTGATTGGACAAAGATTTTCATCTTATCCTTCCAATAAGAGTAATACTTGCCGTTAAAGTATGGAGGCCTTTGCATGGATGAACTCCCGAGTTCCCTTTCCTCTGCGTAAGCCATTCTCCCAGGAACTTGCTCAACAGGGTTGCCTGCGTTTTTTGAGTTCTCGCTCTGATACCAATTGAAAGTCTAACTGGTTTCTACAAGAGGGGGGGTGAATTGTAGAGAAGGTGAAGTTTACAACTTTTTGCGGAATTTAGCTAAGTAAAGCAGTAAAGAGAGATGATGTAGGCTTTTGTAAATTTCCACTATGTAAATAAACTCTTTTACAAGTGAAGATTCAAACCCGTAACAAGTTCCACAAGTTTGGAACTTGTTCCCAACTCTCACGGAAGACTTCGACTATGAAGTTTCCTTAACCTCACCGTTACAAAACTCACAATCCCAAACCCCAAGTACTTGATTACAAATTGCAATTACAAATACCTAGTACAATCAAGAATATAAGGGAAGATAAGAACTCTCTTTACGTTATTTAGTATACTAGAATATAGAAGCTCAAGAGATGTATTTTTCAATGAATAGCTTCGTGGTTTATATAGAGAAATTTGATCCTCAACTCCCACCTTGACCACTAACATGTCAACACCCACTAACAAGTAGTGGAGAATCGTGACAATGGTCAAGGTAGTGGAAGTTTCTCAAACTTCTCCTTAACCCACGTAAATAACTGTTTTGCTAAAATATTGCTTCAGAGAACTGTTGCTTTGAGATAATCATGCAACTACAAAAGCAGTTATTTGACTTCTTCAAATTAGGCTATTTTAAAAGATTTTCTTAAAAAGATTATTTTGAAAAAGATATTTAAAATATTTATTTATTTTAAAAAACAAATAGGATAATAAACTTAAGTTAATTATCTTTATTCGAAATATTTATTTAGATAATATTAATTTGAAAATATCTTTTCCAAAAAAAAATCTATCTATTTGAAAACAATTTTATCATCAACCTTTTAAAAGAATTTTATTCCAGTAACATTATTTATAACGTAAGTCATCGAGTTCCTAACTAACTTATATTTTGAGTGCTTACATATTATAACTAGAACGTAAGATTTGCATGAGGCTTTTTAGAGAATGCTACTCCACATCCCTTGAATCAAGTTTCTACTCCGGAACGAACTTTGCTTGAACCCTTTATTCACCAATGACTTAAAACGTTCATTAGTCAAGTTTGTTAGTTTGTCCATCAAAACCAAAAGGGTCAACATAGTACTTTTTCAAGTTGTCTACATTCCAAGTTCTGGCTAGCTGTCTGTCGTCTGGAGTTTCCAGGCGGTAGGTGCCGCCTCTGACTTCTTCATAAATCCGGTAGGGGCCTTCCCAATTGGGATTCAATTTTCCTTGCTCATTGGCCCAACCGGTTGCCTCCATTTTTCGTAACACAAAGTCCCCCATTTTCAAGGGTCGTTTGTTTACTCTTTTGTTGTAGGCTCTTGTCATTCTCAGCGGCATTGCCCCTGCGCTCCGAGAGTGAATCCAATGCTAGCCACTTGGCCTCCCAATTAGCCTTTTCGTCATAGAGCATGATTCGAAGGATTGGCTCATAATGCTCAATAGGCAGGACGACTTCAGTACCATATGTCATGAGAAACGGGGTTTCACCGGTTACCCCTTTTTCAGTTATTCTGATGGCCCATAGGACATGAGGCAACTCATCTGCCCGTAGACCGCCAGCCCTTTCAATTTTCTTCTTGATGTCATCTGAGATGAGCTTGTTAAAGGCTTCAACTTGGCCGTTTGCTTATTAGATCCTTAATTTCCCCTTTGAAACTCGTCATGAATTTCATGAATTCGTCTCTTGTAACAGGGGCTGCACCTTCTTCCAACTAGGGTTTCCCAGCCGACTTGCCGGGTGGATTGCTTACACCAGCCTGGTTTTTGCCCCGTTCACTTGTTTCCTTGGGACGGGTGCACCTTGTTCTGAGTGACCCATCTGGGGCCATATAGGTGTCGACCTCAAAGTCGTCACCACTATCTTGGTCCATATGGACCTCTATTTCGGCCGTAGGCCGTTTCTCATTTCTAGGCGGTACAGATTCGTTGGATGCCATCTCGGAAGTACTCTCCCCACAGACGGCGCCAAATGTTTCAGGGTTTTTGAAGTCCCTCGAGAGAATTACCATTCCAAGACTGGATGCCGAACGTTTGTACCTGCAAAACAACGGAGACTCTAGTTGGGTGGAGTTCCGCCTCTGACAATCAAATTAGTATGTGTACGGACGGAGTTTAGAGTGCGGAAAGTAAAGAGTCTTCTCCGATTTTGAGAGAGAGAATCTGCAATTGATATTGCTTTGTTTTGTGAATATTTCTAAATACCCCTAAAAAATGAGGATATCTACCTATATATATGGTCTGAAGATCAGCCCCCCTTTTCTAGGTTATGGAACCCAAAGGCTGGTGGGCTGATTTATGGATTGGGCCAAGAAGGCCATCTTCTGCCTTTGGACATGGGGTGCCACGTGTCAGCAGAGGATTGGATCATTTTAAACCTCTTTTAGGGTGACACGTGTCATCATCTAATAGGGCCACGTGGACCTGGGTATTTTACCCTAAACAAAAACTATGTTAGCCAATATGCAGAAGCATATGTAGATTAGGGATGCGCAAATTGATTCGATTCTAGCTCGTAATAAAATCATGAATAATTAAATTGCGCAACTTTCCTCTACTCCACAAACTCGCAAGCAGGTAGCCCTACCATCACAGCCAGTACAACCTACATATCACGTGAATGCAATTACCTTGAGAAGTGGTTCAAAATACGATGGACCTTCTATGCCCAATGATGATAAACCTATCATTACAAATATTGTTAACCCTGATTCTGTTATAGCAAATATTGTTGTTAATAGCCCTACAGGGCTCCAGGGTAAAACTAACATTTCTGATGATACATTGCAGGGTATAACTCCAAAGAAAGATACAGCTCAAGACAAGAGTGGGAGATGTACAGAAACCAGTTATCAAACTACTATTCCCTAATAAACACCTTAAGAGTAAGCTAGATAAGCAGTTCGGTAAATTTCTAGAGGTTGTCAAGAATTTGCAGGTAATGGTTCCTTTCACAGAATTAATTACTCAAATTCCTGCATACTCTAAATTCATGAAAGAAATTTTGACTAGAAAAAGATTTATTAGTGAGGTAGAAACGGTTGCTTTTACTGCATAATGTAGTGCTATATTATAGAATAAATCTCCACCTAAACTAAAAGATCCGGGTAGTTTTTCTATTCCTTGTCATATTGGTAATCTGATGATTGATAAAGCTTTATGTGATTTGGGTGCTAGTGTAAGTGTCATGCCATTATATGTGAGCTCTAAATTAAATATGGGTAAATTAAAAGCTACCAATATTACTCTGCAAATGGTCGAGCGTTCTGTTAAATACCCTTAAGGTGTTTTAGAGGATGTTCCTGTTAGAGTAGGTAAATTTTATATACCTGTTGATTTTGTTGTTCTTGATATGGAGGAAGATTCGCAAATTTTGATTATTTTGGGTAGACCATTCCTTCATACTACAGGGGCAATGATAGATGTGAAAAGTGGTAAACTTACATTATGTGTAGGGATGATAAGATTACTTTTAATCTAAATAATGTTCCTAAAAGTCCCATGTTAGAGGAACAGTGCTAGCCCCAAGCTCTTGTTAGAGATCCCTTGGAGCCGGTATTTCTTGTTGCATCTTCCGCAGGAAAAACTACTACATGGAAAAATGAATTGGATGCTATAGAAAGAGCTCTAAATTGTGTAGGGCTTGGGTTTGAAGATGAACAAGTGGAGAAAAATGAGCAAGTTGCGAAAATCGAGCCCGTAATGAAAGTCCCACCTGATCGGGTGGCATTGGCTCAATCAAGCAAAATTACGAAGAAATTAAAGGCCAAAGAGAAATCTCGAGCAGCTAGTAGCAAGAAACCACCTGTCTTATAACATGAATGGGCTACGATTGGTGCAGTTGAATTACTTCACCTAATTGATTCCATCTCATCTTCATCGACATATGGTAAAAAGATCGTGCGGGACCTAGATAAACCAGTGCTTTGCGGGAGGCAACCCGTATTTTCTTGCTTTTTAGAATAGTATTTTCCCCTATTTTTGTCTTTCGAGAGGAAGAGAGGAGGGAATTTAATGTGTTATAGAGTATTTTGTACAGGTTGGAGAAAAAAAGTTAGCCAAATTTTGAAGAAAAGAAGGAAAAATCGGACTCATAGTGATGTAGCGCGCTCGACTGGGCCTATAAATCGCCCGACTGGATTTTAGCCTATAAATCGCCCAACTGGGCGAATATTCGCCCGACCGGGCGCAAGAACAAAGATCGAAAAAATAGTCAAATTCGCCCGACCGGGTGAGATGGCGTCCGACCGGGCGCGAGAGGAAGCGAAATTAGAGTCCTAATCTTTCCCGACCGAGCGCGAGCCCAGCGAATTAAATTTGCGAGGATTCGCCCGACCGGGCGTGCCTATCTTTCACCATGGATTTCCTTTTCTTCTCTTTTCTTCTTCTTTCTTTCTTCTTTCTTTCTCTTTCCTCCATAGTTTCTCTCTCTAAAACTCAAATTTCTCTACCTTCTCTCTAAGATCTCTCCTCCAATTCTCACCCAAACTCAGAAATTTTTATATATTCCTTCTCCTCACTTCATCCTCTACATTCCTATACTAATTTGGTTCGATTTTGAGCAAATTTTTTTGAAGACCCATATAAAAGATGACTATGAAGAGGGAAAGAACTCAAGTTGGCCGTGGTTCGGGATCAAGTACACCATACGACCCAGATTTGCAACTACTATAGTGGCCAACGATCAAGATTACAACCTCAATGCAATGTCAACGACTCATTAATCTCTACGAACGCGAGGTAACTCCCTCTCGGTGGTTACACCGGGATACTCTTGAAACTTTAAGATTATTTGAGCATGTTAGGAGATTTAAGAATGATATAGGAATGCGTAAATTTGTTGATATGCATTATCCCATATATCGTGAAATAATTTGTGAATTTCTTTCATCTTTAAATGTTGTTCAAACAAACAATGGACCGGTTATGCATTTTAGGTTGAAT